TTACCTGTTTTACAAACGCAAGGGGCGGTGGGGTAGGCTAGTGGTTAAAGCGTTCGCTCGTCACGCCGAAGACCCGGGTTCGATTCCTGACATGGGTACAATGTAGGAAGCACACTTCTGGTGTCCCCCGCTTGATATTGCTGGAATAATGCTAAAAGCAGGGTAAAACCATATTCACTGACTCACTACAAACGCAAATTTGTATCATAGTTTCTGAATCATAAATATCAATTATAAGACAAGGAACAAAAATTGTATTCTGCCAGTTTATAGAGAGAGCGATGGCAATAATAGCTTTATACTATAATTATATGTAGTTTCACTGACAAATAAACAATTGCTTCCACCACATGTGCATATTTCTCAGATCTTGGAAACCCATTATCACTGGATTGTGAAATCGATGTGATAACTGGATACGTAAACTTGTCATCACGATCTGGTAATTTGAAAAGGATGCCACACTAGTGAGTGAGTAAGTTGGGTTTAACGCCGCTTTAAACAGTATTCCAGTTATATCACGACGTGTCAGCTTAATTTGGGAGGAAAGCCCGAAGTGATGCAGGTCTCAGACGTTTACTACTTCAGTGAAACTCACGAGCACGGGTATGGTGCTGACAAACCTAGAAACATAATCGGGGCGAACCAGGATTCGAAACCACAATCACAGGTTTCTGGCGTGGCCAAGGGACGCAACTCTGCACAGCGACATGCGGCGCTTTAGACGACTAGGCCACCCGTGCCCCCGATCTTTTATGAAACTTTGCAATACCTTACAATATTGACACAATATTAATGTCAGACCTCAACACATGTAAAAAAAAAATTGACAGGCCATTGTAGCCAAATTCGATAAACAAAACGCGATTGCTGGTCTTGCTTCAAATTTATTTTGCAAAAACAAATAAATAGAAATAGAAATATATATGACTATACCAATTACATTCTTGCAATATGTCTGTTTCAAATACAAACTCCGAATCGTTCAGTCTTTCTTGATTGTGTTTACTCACCACTGACGCGAGTCTCCATAATCCTTCAGCATTTTGTAAACAACACAAATAGGATGATCCCGTCACGAGACGCACGTAAAGCCCGTGCAAGTCAGACTTGTAAGTGCCTGGCTGAACACCAAGTGATCCGCAGTCCGTGCAAACCGTGCCCTCATCGTGCAACACCGACACAAGAGCCTCAGCTTGCGGACCGTCACCAGTGTCGCGCCGAACAGCTCTCCAGAAGTACACTACGCCTATGATATTGATCGCCAGAGACACAAAGAGCACAGCTACACCGATGTACAGCTTCGCCCTGCGTGAGTCTCCGTCGCAGCGTCCTGCAGTAGCGTCCCTTTGGTGTGAACGGTGTTCCACAACACAGTAACTTGTCCCCGAGTTTTCCAACGTACCAGATGCATCATCACACAGCTTGTATTTTGCCTTGCGAGGTTCAGTGTGCACGGTAAGGACCGCCATTTTAATCGTGCGACGCTATCGACGCTTTCGTGGAAATGTAGGTTGTGCTCTGATTGTTGTAAACAAAGATGGCGTAGTGGATCTATTTATAAACCGTGTTTTTTCCAGTCGCGTATTCCTGGGGAATGAGCATTTCTTGGAAATGTGTGCCCCACATATGGACATACAATTGATTGTACTTAAGCAGGTAACACGATGACACGATCCCCGTATTGGTTCCTTGTTTGGTCAATAGACATTATCATGGAGATAAGCAATTGTTTTACAAGGTTCACAACTGAACATGTTTTCACCGTAAAGGGATGGAAAATCAATACACATTTTATTGTGGAATATGTTTTAATATGAAATATGATCAAAGGAAAGAAAGCATACACTGCACCCTGGAACTATGGAGACACACTTGTGCAATAATACGAACAGAATAACATATGTATGGCTGTTCGTTCCAGGACTCACTGCTGGTTGGTTTGAAATACCAGATTCGCCTTTGATAACACGTGATTATTTTTCTTTTATTGACCTGTCACGTAATAAATATTGACTCTCGTCTACCAGAAAACAAGATGGCGTCTGGTCGTAAAGTTTCACGGTTCGCCGGTTACTATAATGAAATTAGGGCAGATAAAACTCTTCATAATGTCCGGCCGGCCACCTCATGGTGCGGGGCCTCGGTTCTTCTTTTCCCATATTGGCCTCGTTAAGAGTAATATATTTATTCAAATCATATATATTCGGACCCCCTCCTTGTCTAGTGGACGGAGCATCTACCCAGAGAACACACAAACACAAACACCCTCTCACACGCACACCCGTACATACACACACACTCACGTGCATGTTTCACACATTGTACCTACAAAGGGAATCGAACTCGGGCTTTCAGCGTTTAACAACACGGCTCCCCATCGGCCTGATAGACGACAGAGGAAAATAGGGAGATGGAACAACTTTCCAGCTATCTATTGCATGGCCTAAGAGGATACGCAATTGGACCTGGAGGTCAGGTTCGGTGATTTGACTGCTGTGTTTTATACCGATGTTGAGACGTTGCTCATGATCTGAACCACTTGTTTCCCTTCGCCCCGATTATGTTTCTAGGTTTGTCAGCACCATACCCGTGCTCGTTGGTTTCACCGAAGTGGTAAACGTCTGAAACCTACATCACTTCGGGCTTTCCTCCCACATTAAGTTGACATATATAACTGGAATACTGTTAAAAGCGGCGTTAAACCCAACTCACTCACTCACTGTAACTATGTACAGTGGTGACGTCAACAGACTGAAATGTCCACAATATGATTACAATACATTGTGCCACAACATTGCCTCATAATATAATATGTCTTCGCAATGTCTTTTCTGATCTTAGCAGGGTTTTATTCCGTAGTATAGATGACTTTTTTTAAAGCGTAGATTATCATGAAGCAACCAGATGGTAAATGTCTAATACCTGCTTGTCCCAAGGCTATCCTGCCATGCTCGATGTACCCTATAATACACTCTTCAAAAAAAGAAACGCACAGGTAGTATGTTTTTGAACTTGACTACAAAAAAAAAATCCGCTATATAAATTGGATATATGTCATTGGACATTGTTGGTGGCCTGATATTCGACAACCAGTGGGTCAGAACGCAGCCATTCTCGATTTGCAATGTCTTAAAGTGCATTGATTTTACACTTGTTAAAAATTGGCATGGAGGAAAACAGTAAAGCAAAACGTGCAAGTTATGGCATTCGTAACTCGTGGTAGTTGCAAGCATAAGCCAAAAAAATGTCATTCAATTGTCAACGTCCACCACAGCACCATTTGCCCCTTTGCGACCGATACACACAGTTCAATTCCACTGCAGACCGTCCGAGAACCGTCTGACAAAGAGTTACCACCCCTGCACAGGATCGCTGGATTCGACTGTTCCACCTTCGTCATCGCAATGCCACAGCTACGGAGATTACAGGACGCATCCTTGGTTTGGGGAGTATTTGGGACCAGACTGTCAGGAACCTTTTTCGCGAGGCTGGAATCCGACCCAGAAAACCAGGGTGTAAGTGAGTATGATTTTATACCACACTATTATCAATACTCCAGCAATACACTGCGGGGGACAACAGAAATGGACTTCTCGTTGTACTCATTCGGGGAATCGAACCCGGACATTCCTCGAACAGTATTTCAGTGGAAGGAAAGCCGGACATGACGCGGATATATGAGGGTCGTGTCGTAACAATGTTCGGCCAATCAATCCCCGACGACTGCTCTACCTGCCTCAGACCGCCTCCGTGGTCTAGTGGTAGAGCGTCCGCCCGGAGAGCGGAAGGTCCGGGGTTCGATCCCCGGCCGCGTCATACCAAAAGACGTTAAAAGATGGTACTTGTTGTTACCCTGTCTGGCGCTCGGCATTAAGGGGCTAAAACAAGGACTGGTCGGCTCGGAGTCGGTATACTGTGTCTGAGTGGGGTATTCATGTTAAACTGCGGCATGGTATCTCAGTGTGCTAGCACTATAAATCGGCATCAGTCCGGACTAGTACAAACACACACACACACACACACACACACACACACACACACACACACACACACATGTCGCTATATAATTGCAATAATCTTGGACGCAACGTTAAACCCAATTTCACCTCACCTCACCTCACCTCTACCCGCCTCAATTACTGCCCGATATAACGGCACATGTTGCCTCACCACAGATGTATTTGACCCCCACAAAGGAGAAACACCACGGCTATTCCTGGGGAATCGTAACTATATTGACTTGGCCCCACAGTGCACTGTGTACATTTGACTTCTCACGTTGTTATAGTCCAATTCCTCGGGAATGAATATTACCTGGGTACAAAGTAATTTCCCGTTTGTCTCGGGTTACCAAATTGTATATAAACATCCGGTGATATCACAGGGTCATATTTAGAACATGATCACTGGAGAATAAATTGAATATTTCATCTGACCCGTGGAGATCCGGGTTAGAAAAGGTCTTCAGCAACCCATGCTTGCCGCAAAAGGCGACTATGCTTGTCGTTATGGGCGACTAACGGGATCGGGTGCTCAGGTTCGCTGACTTTGTGGATGATGCATGTCATCGTATCGCAATTGTTTGGTCCAGGCTTGATTATTTACAAACCCCGTAATATAGCTGGAATACGGCGTTAAACAACAAACAAACAAACAAACAAACAGCATATTTCATCTACAACGTAAGCCAAATCTTTGCATCCATTTTCGTGCATATACTGACTTGATCATGGGTATGACGCTAATGTAAATCTAAAGTTCAAGTTAGCAAGTAAAGGTCATTGAGTTCTACCTCCGAGTGACTATGATTTCAGCTTCTTTCATTCCTTTGTTAATTTGTATCTTAATTGTTCTCATCGCTATATATAGCTGTGACAGTGCTTATGTGACTTAATGTTATAAGTCTGTCCTTTTCCTTGTAATTTCTGTCATCAATCTCAACCTCAATATAATTTCATTTGTGTACAATAAACCCTCGGTAAAAGGGACAAAGAGAGTGTCGGATTATGATTTTATTTCCAGAATGTATAACAATATATCCAGTAACTGTCAATACATATACACATCTTAACTTAAGAATTGAGCTGTTTGAGTTTCAGTAGAGGAAAGTAAATATGTTGACACAACTTCACAGCTGCTTGTTATTCAATCACTATTTACACCTCGGTTAGTTTTAGAAATGATTCCTATATACTCACCCACAAAAGAAACGCGAATACCATTATGATGCATGCTGGTTAATTTTTGAAGATTTTCTCATATTCAAGGGATATCAGATTAGTTCGATGCAGGCACGAACATACTGGTATGTTGTGTGAACCGACGCTCATGAACGCAGCACATGTGACGTCATAAATGCAGGACTCGAGATGCACCTTTTGTCTCGTGCAGGATGAGCGCGTAAAGTTTGGAAATCACGTGCAGCAGATCATGATAAGAATAAAGACACTTCGTGGTAACACTTGACTGATTGTTAGTTTTGTCATTAAGTTGTACGCATTGGAATCATCTCTTCTTAACCTACATTCCTCTCTATATGTTTCTGTGGTACGCGTTTCTTTTGGCAGTGAGTATATATATATTATATATAGTGATATATATATATATATATATATATATATATATATATATATATATATAATATGATTACGATTTTGTTGCGAATACCAATTTTCCTAGATACATTTAGTCAAATTTAACACCATTCCCTTGAGGCGACTTGCGGGATCGGGAGTCAGGCTCGCTGACTTGGTTGAAGCATGTCATCGTATCCCAATTGCGTGGACCGATGCTCATGATATCAATCGCTGGACTGTCTGGGACACATTCGATTATTTACAGACCGCAGTCATATATCTTGTGGAATATTGCTAAGTGCGGCGTTAAACAACAAACAAACAAACAAACAGCATATTTCATCAACAACGTAAGCCAAATCTGTGCATCCATTTGAATGCGGCGTAAAACAACCAACCAACCAACATTCGTGCATCCCTTATGTTATGGGTATGAACCGTTGGAGTCTTGGTCGCACATCAATAGTCAAAATCTGGCATCTTTCTGAGAGAGACAGGCACACACAAAACATCCCCCACGTCCCGTGACCCCAGCCCCCACCCGCCACAACGATATTGGATCATAATTTACATTTTGATCACACCAAAATAATTTGAAAGCTTCCTCATCTCAACCAGATCATTATAGTTTTCAGACATGGTAACCCGGATAATGTCTTCTCTGCGTAGTTTCACAACGGCGGACAGAAAAGACGTTTGCTGCGCAGGTGCAGTCCATGTCAACGAGGTTTTACTGAACAGGACGGGTTTCTGGCCCAGACCAGGCAAGTTCCGGTTCCGCCGCTGTATGACGTGTATGAATGTATCTTCAGAGGCTGGCTGTGTGGTGAACGTGAGGTGAGAGTACACCAGGTAAATGCCGGCCGCTGGAACGACAATACCCCCATCACCACACACCACGTTGAAGCAGAAGGAGGTGTTGTAGATGTCGCTTGATGTCCATGATGGCGGCGAATCTGCAAGAGAAGTCACTGTTTGCAAGTGTCGTTACAAATCAAACCGAAAAACTACATCTGAAGATAATACTTTCTGATATAGAATAGACCCTTGAAGATCCGGGGTAGAATAGATCTTTAGCAACTCATGCTTGTCGTAAAAGGTGACTAACGGGATTGGGTTGTCAAGCTCGCTGACTTGGTTGATGCATGTCATCGTATCCCACTTGCGTGGATCGATGCTCATGATGTCAATCACTGGATTGTCTGGTCCAGACTCGATTATTTACAGACCGCCGTCATATAGCTTTATACTCCTCTACCCGAGTGGGAACGTCGGTCTCACACACACAGGGACACTCCTCTACCCGAGTGGGAACGTCGGTCTCACACACACAGGGACACTCCTCTACTCGAGTGGGAACGTCGATCTCACACACACAGGGACACTCCTCTACCCGAGTGGGAACGTTGATCTCACACACACAGGGACACTCCTCTACTCGAGTGGGAACGTCGATCTCACACACACAGGGACGCTCTTCTACCCATATGGGAACGTCGATCTCACACACCCGGGAACACCCCTTACCCGTTTGGACACCCCTTTATTATACATTTTGTACGTCAGTATATTTTCAAAAGCGTATTTCTACGTTCACGTTATACGTTAATCTGTAATGAAATTTCCGTCGACTTCACTGGGAAAGGTCCACTCTTGGAGGCCGTTCTTCGGCCATACGTTACCTGCTTGAGGGACCATATAAAGATGAGCTCCTGTTGACCCTTTGATGATATTCAGCCCATGACTCCGTCTTCCCCTATCTGACTTGGGTGGCTCGCGTCCTGAAATTTAACAAGTGGTATAATCGTTTTGAAGATATACTTAACATACTTGTTTCAAATAATACATGTAAAATTCGCATCTATGATACTTGAGCATCTGCTGACAACCAAAAGGATTCTTCGAGTGAGTGAGGCATGTACTTGTCTTTGCTATATTGAGTGAATGAGGGGGTTTGATTTCATGCCGCATGGAACTAAGTTTCAGTTATATATATACGTTGGCTTAATGTGTGTGTGTTTGGGTTTAGGGGAGGGGGGGGGGGGGGGGGGGGGGGGGGGGGGGGCGGGGGCGAAGTGAAGCAGGTCTCAGATATTTACGCCCGGTAAACCCAAGAGAACAAGGGTGTATATTTAATATGACAACATGAACAAACTTTCAGGTGCGCAAATTAAAACACCAGATAGCATCACATCACATATTTCAGTTTAACATTTGTATATAGGATACTGTTTCCTACAACTTACCTGTCAATCGCCTCAGATATTCGTCCGATACGATCTAAAAGTAAGATAATTTAGAGCTTGTGAAACATATCATGAAGTCTCATTTCGTATGGGATCAATGCTGCCTAGATAACCTTCTTGAGAGACGATTGTGACTCTGGCGCAAGTAAATCAATACTAATGGTCGACAGCATGAGCAGTAATCCACGCTGTCGAAATATGATGACGCATTTTACAGAGTAAACGCTGCAGAAACCAATGATAAAAACTGAAACGAAACGTTGACTCCACCAAGCGTCCGGTTTCAGCAATATCATGGCAGGGACCACAAGAATAGGGCTTCACACATTGTACCCAAGTCAGGAATCGAACCCGGGCCTCCTCGTAACGAGCGAACGCTTGACTATTAGGCTACCCCAAGATCCAATGGATTCTTGTTTATGTACTCCGTATTACGTTGATGGTATGAAAAGGTAAATTATCCTAACCAAAGATAACATTCATGTTTCCAAAGCTATTATCTTTTAGTGAATGTTCCATCTGAAATTCGCATTGTTTGCATTGATACCCGTGATGACCTCGGTCTTCAGAATTGGTCTTCAGCAACCCATGCTTGTCATGAAAGGCAACTAACAAGATCAGGCTCGGTGACTTGGTTGATGCATGTCATCGTATCCCAGTTGTGTAGATCGATGCTCATGATGTCATTCACTGGATTGTCTGGTCCAAACTCGATCATTTACAGACCACCGTCGTTTAGCTGGAATACTGGTGAGAACGGCGTTAAACAACAAACATACAGTGTGTATTGAACAAATCACTGAATCCTATATACATGTTACAAGAGCCCTAATTGAGCTTAACTAGCACAAGCGCTCATTGCAGAACACGCATGATACTTGCTTAACAAATTGTCATATGTTATATCTTACGGATCTATACCAACTCAAGCAATCAGCCTAAAGCAGCACATGTAATCAGCGTCCGGAACATGATATCTAGGTCGCAGATGCGTCAACTAAAATTTGACGCTTCACTGACCAACATGATATATGATGCAATTCCCTATTTGGATTTGTGCTATTTGATACGATGTAAGTCGGATTCGTATACTCCTCTTTTAGTAGAGATGACTTATGATCATTGATTGTTTTGTCAGCTACACAGTGTGCTGTGTTTATATAAATATATTGAAAACAATACATTAACCCTTTTCCCTGTCATTTGATGCAAACACATGGTCATGGTCTGTGTGATTGAAAAGCCAGAATGAGTTAATAATACGGGTCCTTGTAACGAAACGAGAGTATGTGCTTGTCATATGTCCCGAACAGTAAACAATCAACTGTCGGTGTTTGAGTTGCCTTCAGTGAGTACGCTGTAATGCCCATGCATAAAGATATCAGTTGATGCATGCCTTGTTGATCTCCGAACGTAGCCTTGACACATTTGTTTATTTGAAAACATTGCCGCGCTAGGAATGTAAAGATAACATGAGAGACACCTCGGCTATTTCTGCATATGAGTCAAAGCCGGGTATGTTTACAAACAATAAAATGACTACCTCATCGTAGTTCTGCTACTACTCCTACTACTCCTACTACTCCTACTACTACTACTACTACTACTACTACTACTATTCATACAAATGCGACTACTTCTACGACTACTGGTATAACTACTACTGCCACTACTACTACGACTATTAGTATTACTACTACTGCCACTACGATTATTTCTACTACGACTACTATTACTGTTGCTTGTATAACAGCAAGAACAACTACTACTGCGACTACTACTACTACGACTACTAGTATTACTACTGCTGCAACTACTTTTACTACTACTGCAACTACTATCACTACTACAGACACTACTACTACGACAACTTGAGTAACTACTACTTCGACAACTTCTACGACTACTAGTATAACTACTGCTGCAACTACTATTACTGTTGCCTATATAACAACATCAGCAACAACAACAACTACTACTACTGCGACTACTACTACGACTAAATATTACTACTGCTACTGCTACTACTACAGCTGATTGTAGGTAGCCTGGTCGTTTTACCATTCTCTCATCACGTCAAGACACGGGTCCGCTTCCTCATATTGGTCGATTGTGTGAAGGACATTTCTACCACCCCTCTTAAATGGCTGCGTTCTGATACAATGTTGGTAAAACTCGCATGTCATATAGAGGACGTACCTAGCTGGAGGGTCCATTGTGAAGGGGAATATGTAACACTAATCAGCGTGCCCAACATTAGCTCTAGCCTGCTGTGACATGGATGTATACACTGTCTGCCATGTCGACCTATACTTTATGTCACGATAAGGGGGGACGCGAACATTGAATGTAGGATAGTAGTGTCAGTCAACGCAGCGTGACCTGAATAAGATATCAAGGTAAAACGTCCTGCTTACATCACAACTGGATCATGGCGCATGTTACTCAATAATCAATAACACCTTGTTCGCACTACAGTGTCTGTGCACATGTATCATGCTCTGATGCGTAATGTTGGCAGTAGTTTGATAAGAGGGATCTGGAAGTAGCGCGTTTATATTTGAAGCTGACTGACGACCAGGTCACCTGGCCTTGACACAGATGTTTAGGTAGAGTGTAAACACAGCCTTGCTTTGTTAAGGCTCCATGTGATACGCGGCTGATGTTTCTAAATTTGAGTCAAAGTGTGTCACTGTGTGTTTACAAACATCACGTGAATAAAATAAAACTGGGTCACAGTTAGATTTGAAATTGTTATACAATTGACTTTACTCGATGTATTACTCCTGCTACTACCACAAAAATCACTACTACTACTGCTACTACAACTACTACTATTGTTACTACTGTAACTACTGCTACTACAGCTACTACTACTACAACAACTACTATTACTACTACTACGATTACTACTTCTACTACTACTACTGTAACTGCTGCTACGATAAGTAATACTACAACATCAACTACTACTACTTCAACTACTGTTACCACTGTAACTACTGCTATTACAGCTACAACTACTACTACTTATAATACTTCAACTACTACTACTGCTGATTTAACTACTCCTGCTACTACTACAACTGTAACTGCTGCTACTACTTGTAATACCACTTCGTCAACTATTACTTCAACTACCACTACTTCCACTTCTGTTACCACTGTAACTACTGCTATTACAGCTACTACTACTACTACTACTTCTACTACTTCTAATTCAACTGCTACTACTACTACAACAACTACTACCACTATTATTATTACTACTACTACTACCACTACTACTACTACTACTACTACTACTACTACTACTCTAACTACTACTATTACTACTTCTACTCCTGCTTGAACTACTGCTATACTTCTACTACTACTACAACAACACATTCCACTACTACTATAATAATTACTACTACTACTAATATTACTACTTCTACTTCTACTACTGCTTGATCTACTGCTATACTACTACTTCTACTACTACTACTACTACAACAACTACTACTATTACTACTACTACCAATACTACTACTACTTTAGTTATTGCTTTACTACTACAACTACTACTACTTCTACAACTACCACAACTACTACTGCTTTATCTACTGCTATGCTACTACTACAACAACTTCTACTATTAATAACTACTACAACTACTTCTACTACTGCTTTAGCTACAGCTATACTACTACTACGACTACCACAGTACTACTGCTGTTCGCGGGTGATAGGCAGTTTCGCGGTTTCGTTGTTCGCCGAAAACATGGGTTCAATTTCAACAATGCCCCACCCATACCCCTCGATTAATCAGCATGGCATTGTTCGAGAAACAGACAAAAACACCCATTTTCCAAAATGATATAAATGTGTTCACACAGCCACACGTGAATCAGGCATTCGCTTGTGTGTCTCGCGTTGCTCAATAACATTGATCCATGCAAGCTGTGCAATCACGTGATGTAAAATCATTGCTGTGTTCCGGGAACAGACATGAATAGGTTTTCCCGGAACCCATGTCCGTTATTGGCAGCAGTCGCACATGAATATGAGTGAGTGAGTATGGTTTTACGCCGCTTTTAGCAAATTCCAGCAATATCACGGCGGGGGACACCAGAAAGGGGCTTCACAATCGTACCCATGTCGTGAATCGAACCCGGGTCTTCGGCGTGACGAGCGAACGCTTTAACCACTAGGCTACCCGACCGCCCCACGTGAATATGAAGACACACGACAGCGTTGCTTACTGTGCTTTACACATGGTGTAGACATTGTCAATATATCACAGATGCAAACAAAGCATTATTCTCATCACCACAACAATAAAGCATGCTTATTTAAAGTACATAAAATTACATTTTGTTCAGATAAAATAACATGTTGCCATCGGTGGAGTAGGACACCCTTATCTTTTCGCGAACACATGGTACCATCACTGTTCAGTAGTGATTCCTAAACCAATGATCATTGTATAGTCGGAATCGTAGAGTGAACTCGCTTTGTCGCCTTTCTTATAACGTAAACGGATCCGAGAAGATCCGGGGTGGCTTGAGTCTCCAGCATCCCTGCTTGCTGTAAAAGGCGACTATGCTTGTAGAAAGAGGTGAGTCTTCGAATTCGGGATCGGGTGGACAGGCTCGCTGACTTGGTTGATGCACAAGATTGTCTGTTCCAGACTCGATCATTTACAGACCGACGTCATATAGCTGGAATATTGCTGAGTGCGTCGTTAAACAATAAATAAACAGACAAACAACTATACCATATATGTTAACCTGCAGTCATTGCATCACATAATTGTTCAAATTCAGGAGTCAATGAGTTCTACACACATGACATGCTTTATGCATTTGTTCTAAATATTTAAACGCAATGCTATTAAACATTGTATACAGATTTCTAGTTAAAGATAATTACCTTTCTGAAAAGCTTGGTGACGTCATTATTCTGTCTCTGACAACAAAACGTGTGACCTGAAGAGAGTCGTATGACGTCATAGAGAGTGTCCTTGGATTCGATCAGCGGACCCAGGTGGTCACAGGTGAAACAGACTTGAGCGGCGGTGTCCACGTGACTAAGCAAATTTGAGAATCCCTCTACACTCATCTTGTGCGAATCACGTGACGCCATAATTGTTTGGACGGTGACCGCGACAACAAGAAGAACGTTTGCAGTAAGGGACACAGTGATGACAGTATAGAATAAAACTCCCGGGCGGCGTCGTTGACGTGACGGGGATGACGGTGACGTTGTGTCGAAAGGCAGCAACGTTGATTCTGGTTCACTCATTGTCTGGGGATTATAGGTGTCCATTGTGAGCATATTTTTAATCTACATCTGCATTTAATCTTATACTGATGATTACATTGTATCCCAAAGTGTCGTATATTCTCATACACAGGAATGTTACGTACGTCGAGATATTTCACTGACTGGCTCCCAAAATCAATGATTCGAACACAGCTGCAGTGTTGACATTACCCACACTGCAGACTAACAGCTCGCACGACCAGGTACTGTGTTTCGCTCATGGCGCCTCTATATTTCCAAGAAGCGACGAGGCCAAAGCGTTTTTCTCACCGACCTACTTTCTCTTTCATTACATGACTGCAGAAAAGGAGACATATGAGTTATACGTCAACCCCCTCGCCATGTTAGCGATTCACGTTTTTAAATAACCCGATTTCACTACTCATGACAGCGGTTTTCACTACTCTGGTGTGCTGGCGGAAATTCCTTCTTCACCTGTCCCTTGGCTATCTTTAATTGGGAGAAGTGTCTTGTGTCATTGTCCTAATGCATACACATTCTGATATGCAACAACCTGCATGGCGATGCCGCAATTTCGGTCATTAATATAAGTAAAGTAAACTACGTTTATAACGAACACGCTTATAACGAACTGACGGATATAACGAACTTATTTTAAGTCCCGACCATTTATTGTATATATGCTGTATGTATGCCTTTAACGAACTACGGTTATTACAAACCAAAATTGGAGTCCACTCGAGTTAGCTATAACCGTAGTCTACTGTATTTATTGAATGGCACCCTTCTTCTTCATTTTCGTGTCTTAACCACATATCTCTTAAACAAACATATTTATTCCTTACGTATTTCTCAATACCTGTGTAAGCTCAACCATCTCGCATGGTCTGTGAAAACACTTACCCTGGGGCATGTAATCCTCATTCACATTACATCTTACAATTCGCTAGGTGAACCAGTTCAGTGAGTCATCAGAATATACATGATACATCACTGCGATTTTACTGCAATAAATATATCAGTGTATTGAAAGACTTGTAAGCCAAGCTCATGTCATGCCTGGCTGACCAGAGATGCATGTCTTTGATAAGTCAGACATACACGCATGTGAAGTTGAATCTCCAAAACTGTTGCTTTTGAATATTATGCAGGCATGTGTGACACGCACTGATTTGCACGGTTCAGTCTTACTCTTACCGTGATCTCATATACGATGTTTCACATGTAGTGAGTGAGTGAGTGAGTATGGTTTTACGCCGCTTTTAGCAATATTCCAGAAATATCACGGCGGGGGACACCAGAAATGGGCTTCACACATTGTACCCATGTCGGGAATCGAACCCGGGTCTTCGGCATGACGAGCTAACGCTTAAACCGCCAGGCTACCCGACCGCCCCTGAAACATTTGATGGTTGTGCAACGTTCAGACAAATATGTCTGTGTGATTGTCTCGGCCGGTTGTGTAGCCTAGTGGTTAAAGCGTTCGCTCGTCACGCCGAAGACCCGGCTTCGATTGGGTACAATGTGTGAAGCCCATTTCTGGTGTCCCCTGCCGTGATATTGCTGGAATATTGCTAAAAGTGGCTTAAAATCAAACTCACTCACTCACTCACTATGTGAGGTCTAACGTTTAAACAGTTAATGTTTTTGTCTTTCTCCTGATGTGTCTGAAGTTGGCACCGAACAGGTCCATTTTACTTAAAAATTGACAATTGACCTTTTTCGGTTCATTGAAGTATGAATCGATACAACGATGTGCAAATTGTGTGAATCCGCGTAGGAGCTGCAAATCAGGCCGAGGGGCGAAGGGAACTGCAACAGTCAGTCTGTTACGAACCGGAAAAAATATATCTGGGAGAAGCTAGGCGGCTGTTTCAAATGACATGGTCAGTTCCAAACAGATTCAAACACTAGTTCCCTGAGAACGGAAAGACACATTTGGAGAAATGCGGATTGGAAAGGAAACCCGAAGACATGACATTTGTGGTACTGAGGTGAGCGAGAAAAAAAAACAGGCGAGCGAGCCTGCCCGTTTGCTGTTTCATTCTTTCTTGGCCTTCGGGCTCAAAGGGTAGTTTGGACAGTGAATCTGCATGAATTATGCAAAATGTCCTGTGCACAATGATACAGGTAAACGGAAAGGGAATTTTCACAACTCTAATCTTTGGATTCTTAATCTTTTTACATTCATTGGGAAATGAATGCAATAATAGGTGATAGCTAATCAGAATGCAGGAATTACAATGAACACAACGAAAATATGATTATAACTTTATGAGTCTAACAAATCTTTGCACATGTCAGACCTTTTTGCTACTCAACGCATGCAATTTTTGGACAGCCGTGATCCATTTTACTACCTGATGTGTCTTAATTTGCACAGTTCAGTTCCATGTTACTACCTTATGTGTATCATATTTGCACAGTCCAGTTCCATGTTATTACCTTATGTGTCTCATATTTGCACAGTCCAGTTCTATGTTACTACCCTATGTGTCTCATATTTGCACAGTCCAGTTCCATGTTACTACCTTATGTGTCTCATATTTGCACAGTTCAGTTCCATGTCACTACCCTATGTGTCTCATATTTGCACAGTCCAGTTCCATGTTACTACCTTATGTGTCTCATATTTGCACAGTTCAGTTCCATGTTATTACCTTATGTGTCTCATATTTGCACAGTTCAGTTTCATGTTACTACCCTATGTGTCTCATCTTTACACAGTTCAGTTCCATGTCACTACCTTATGTGTCTCATATTTGCACAGTTCAGTTCCATGTTATTACTTTGTGTGTCTCATATTTGCAGAGTTCAGGTCAATTTTACTGCCTGAAGTGTCTCATACTCGTTCACTGCCGGTCCATTTTCAAATCTGATACATCAGATGTATGAACCATTCAGTTGTATAGTACAATATGACACATGCATGCACGTGTGCGTGCTTGCACTAGGCTAAAGTCGGTTGTATAGTGCTAGCCCACTTATACACCTTTCCGCTGTTAAAGATGAATATCCAACTCAGACACAGTTTACTGACACCGAGCCAACCGGGCCTTGTTGGATCCCCTTAATACCGAGTGCGAGGCAGGGTAAAAACAAGTACCATCTCAGTGGTTTATGTATTGTATTTATTTGTATGTTGTACATGTGTAGTGTTCCTGTTCCCTCTAACGAATGATGGACCCCATCTAACGCAGCTGTCATATATAAGGTGCCTTAAAGGTGGAATCGTTGACATAGTACCAGAGTGGGTAAGACTTCACAGCATCTTGTGTCAACATTCAAGCCATATCACGACTGTGGGCACCATATGTACAATTAGGCTTCACACACTGTACATATGTACATATGCTTAGTCTGTTCATGCTGGACCGTTTCCGTGGTCTAGTGGTAGAGCGTCCGCCCGGAGAGCGGAAGGTCCGGGGTTCGATCCCCGGCCGCGTCATACCAAAAGACGTTAAAAGATGGTACTTGTTGTTACCCTGTCTGGCGCTCGGCATTAAGGGGCTAAAACAAGGACTGGTCGGCTGGGAGTCAGTACACTGTGTCTGAGTGGGGTATTCATGTTAAACTGCGGCATGGTATCTCGGTGAGCTAGCACTATAAATCGGCATCAGTCCGGACTAGTACAAGCAGCCACACAAACACACACACGTACATGCAGGTCGCTATATAAGTGCAATAATCATGGACGCGACGTTAAACCCCATTTCACCTCACCTTACCAGTTCATGTTGTATACTGTGCCTTTCAGCATAAATATTGGATTCCAAAATCCTCAATACATTTTGTCAATCTGTTATTCAACCATGTGTGGTACCACATTAATAGTAATTGCTTTTATCGTACACATATTATGCCTCTTGTAGTGCTTACGTAAGACCGGGTATCATGGTACTCACCGCAGATGACTTTAAACCTTGACAGCTATGCTAGCAGTGTTGCAAGAAATGTAAGAAAATATAAATTCTCTATACACGTCTGTGGCACAGTGCTTTCTGGCATATCTTTCGTTTGCATTTCTTAGAATTTGAGGCAAACAGAAAGTACATGAAGATGGCTTGTTTCGTAACCACAGCCTTTGCAAATACACATAGATCAATAACGGGTTTTCAACTCTGTGAACACGAGACATTAATTTGAAAATACACTGCATAACATTTGACCATATTCGAATGGCTATGTATTGTGTCATCTCCTCTTTCGTTGGTAAGAGTTGATACAGTGAGGAGATATACCGACATATAGAATAAAGAATTGGCTTTGTTCCAACATGGATGAGAGACAGGCTGTTAGATATGTACTTTGGTACTAACACGACTAACTGAAACAATGTGTTTTGGACACGTCACAATCATGAATGACAATGATCTGAATCACAAGGAAGGAAGGACTATTTTAAGGAAGTAGGATAGTTTATAAATAGGTGACATTCGCGTTCCTTTGTCCTTGTCAAACACAATTCACACGCTATAAATATCTGGTAGTTGTTCAGGAAAAATGAAACAGGCTCGCTGACTTGATTGATGCATGTCATCGATCCCAATTGCTTTGATCGATGCTCATGACATCTATCACTGGATTTTCTGGTCAAGACACGATTATGTGCGGACCGCCGTCATAGAGCTGGAATATTGCTGAGTGCGCCGCACAACAACAAACATTGTGAAATTGTAGGACTGACTGTCCGTGGGAAAACACTGTAGGATGGCACAACTGACTGTCAGTGGGATAACACTGTATGGTGGTACAACTGACTGTGAGTGCGACAACATTGTAGGATGGTACAACTGACTATGAGTGCGACAACACTGTATGGTGGTACAACTGACTGTCAGTGCGATAACACTGTATGGTGGTGTCACTGGTCAGTGTTATGTGTCTAGGAGCTGGTATGGCCATATGTTTGTGTAAAGTGCATGGGGATGGTATTATTGCTACCTGTCCGTATGACACACCTGTTGGACCGTAGTTTGTGCTACATGTTGTAGGACCCGTGAAGAATAGGGGTAGAATACGTCTTCAGCAACCAATATTTGCCGTAAAAGGCGTCTATGCTTGTCGTAAAAGGCGACTAACGGGATCGGGTGGTCAGGCTCGCTGACCTGTTCTATTCTTGGACCTATTCTATTCTTGGACCTATTCTATTCTTGGACCTGTTCTATTCTTGGACCTGTTCTATTCTTGGACGTATACTATTCTTGGACCTGTTCTATTCTTGGACCTGTTCTACTCTTGGACCTATTCTATTCTTGGACCTATTCTATTCTTGGACCTGTTCTATTCTTGGACCTGTTCTAATTTAATCCGAGTCCGAACGGGGGTCTGTGTGGGAAACCTCTAGACCTCAGAAACCTCAGAAAGCAAACCATCAGTTAAAATTACATTTGATTGACATTTTGTTAAATGACACACATTTGGGAGTAATAGTCGCTGGTTGTTAACAATGTGGATATTCAAATTATCATGATCACTCAAAACATATAGTGGATAAGGAACAACAATAATAACTTGTCAGTGCAAAACCACGATTTCCCGTCAGACTGTGACTGAAACATTTGTCGGCACTACAGTAGTAACATATAGTTATTTATGTTTCCATAAGAAGCAATATATACATAATATCTGCTTTCAATGGCATGCCTATTCATCACATTCACAATCTGACAGCCTCCGTGGGATAGTGTCTGCCCAGAAAGCGGTCGGTGGTGAGATCCACGGGTTCAGCATATTATGCCTAATTAGAGATGTCAAACTGCGGAACGATATCTCCATGGTCTAGCACTATAAAGCAGGCATACGTCCGGTCAAGAAGGCACACACATACCACACACACAGACACATATATACGTACATGTCCACATGTATGTATATATGTTACAGGGAATATGTATAATCAGGGAATATGTATAATCCCTGAAATTTTCAGGGAATATATTTAATGTCTGATTCACTCAGGGAATATACATAATCCCTACAATTTTCAGGTATTACACATATTCCCTGATTTGACATCAAGTTTTTTAGACACATTCCCTGAAATTACTTTTGAGGTTCTTACATAGTCAAATTTGATATAAAAAAGCCAAATTATTTATGAGGAGACAAATTTATTTGACATGATAACAAATACCTTTCACTTAACTTAACAATTAGTCTTCACTGTAATCAAAACAATGCTAAAACAAACATAGGATAGACCTAACAAACAATAGCTCTTGTCCAGGTTTTTTCGGAATTTCTCCTCTTACTCCATCTTGAAAATGTGAGGTAATTCTGTACTGTACTGGACCGCCTCCGTGGTCCTGTGGTAGAGCGTCCGCCCGGAGAGCGGAAGGTCCGGGGTTCGATCCCCGGCCGCGTCATACCAAAAGACGTTAAAAGATGGTACTTGTTGTTACCCTGTCTGGCGCTCGGCATTAAGGGGCTAAAACAAGGACTGGTCGGCTCGGAGTCAGTATACTGTGTCTGAATGGGGTATTCATGTTAAACTGCGGCGTGGTATCTCAGTGAGCTAGCACTATAAATCGGCATTAGTCCGGACTAGAGCAAGCAGCCACACAAACACATACACGTACATGCACGTCGCTATATAAGTGCAATAATCTTGGACGCGACGTTAAACCCCATTTCAACTCACCTCACTGTACTGTACTGTAGTGTTTTGGGGGGTTAACGACCGCTTCTACCACTGGCAATTTCGCAGTCGGGGTAGGTGGGGAAAATAAAAAATAAATAATATTTTAATAGAGGTAAACACCATACCTCAAAAACTGTTAGTGAGAGGGAAATAAACCTAATCCCACGGCTATAATGTACAACAAGTGTATTAAAATATGAAAAGAAAAGATAAGTTAAATGGTAATATATTAAGAGAGGTGAATATTGAAAGAAGGATTTAAGGCCTGAAAAGAGTAGAAAGTGCTATATAATCTATCTAGTAATTGTAAGCTATACTTGAGTGAGTGAGTGAGTATGGTTTGACGCAATATATTCCAGCAATATCACAGCGGGGGACACCAGAAATGGGCTTCACGCATTGTACCCATGTCGGGAATCGAACCCGGGTCTTCGGCGTGATAATGCTTAAACCGCTAGGCTACCCGACCGCCCCAAGCTATACTAGAAGAAGAAAAGGTAAAGCATAGTGTGTGTATGTATGTGTGTGTGTGTGTGTGTGTGTGTGTGTGTGTGTGTGTGTGTGTGTGTGTGTGTGTGTGTGTGTGTGTGTGTGTGTGTGTGTGTGTGTGTGTGTGTGTGTGTGTCTGTGTGTGTGTCTGTGTGTGTGTCTGTGTGTGAGCAGTTTTATACCTTGAATTTCGCATATCGTTGCAGCTGCAAACATGTTTGTTCTAAAAACTATTTTTTTACTTCATAGTCTAACATTGATTCTTTGATGGCAGTATATATATGTATGGAAGAAAATAAATGCGAACCATTTGTAGCAATATATAGAGAAGTATGTACGTTAAGAAAAGATATGTCCAATGTGTACCACTTAATATTTTTTGTGGGTTATGTTATTTCTTTTTGGAGTACACAATCAATAAGTTTACAGAATATAGTTCACATGCAATCTTAAATACATACAAAATGTATCCATTGAAAAACAACAACAAAGCTATACCAGTGTCAGGATGGCAAGACATCCATGTTGAACATTCTCACGTTGCTATACAAGTGCAATAATAGTCTTTATTCCTCATTTCCCCACCTCACCTCACAATTTGAATATACCCATGTAGTTTGAAAACCCACCCTTCTCGACCAGATCAGTGTTTTGATCAGGTATATAGACGCCGATGGCATCGCGTTCTTCGAGTTTCAAAACGGCGGAGAGAAAAGAGTTTCGCTGTGGAGATGCTGTTCGTGTGAATGAGGTCTTACTCATCAGAAGCTGTTTGGGAGGCATGTTCCGTCTGGTAAGGTGCATTCTGTGTGTGAAGATGGTGTATGTGGAGCCACGTGTCACGTTAAGTGTGATGTGCGAGTACACGAGGTAGATCCCAGCGTCTCGTACCCAGATCGTTCCGTTATCGCATGCGACATTGGCACAGAAGGTCACGTGGTAGTCATCGTGGGCTGTCCATGCTGGCGGCGACCCTGGGAAAGGACAAATACGTTAGAATAGTCTTTGACAAAGTTGTTAGATTTGTCCTTGTTACAGGCGTTGAATGAATGCTCATAGTGAAGGCATTAACGTGAGTCAGCAGGATTTTAAGTTGTATAACCGATGTCAAACATAACAGATACACATGCATCTCCTTACGTTATTCAATCGCGATCAACATTGAATACATGGTCTGAAATATATATTTACAAATTCTTACTTGAATGATGGCTACTCCTCTAAGGGCTTAACGTGCGGCAAGTGAATAAGACTACAAATAGACACGACTGGTTGAGAAGTTGGGTTTAACGCTGCTATGAACAATATTCCAGTTTTATCACGACGTGTCAGCTGAACGTGAAAGGAAAGCCCGCAGTCAAGCAGGTCTTAGACGTTTACCACTTTGGTGAAACCAGCGGGAACGGGTATGGTGCGGACAAAGCAAGAAAACTATAATCTGGACGAACCGGGATTCGAACCCACGATCACTGATGTTTGGCATGTCTAAGGGACGCCACTCTACGCAGCGAATTGTGGCGCCTCAGATGAGCGACAACAGGTGCCCCTCTAGACAAGCGGCATGACTGTACCTAGGATGAGCGACAACAAGTGCCCCTCTAGACAAGCGGTATGACTGTACCTAGAATGAGCGGGCAACACGTGCCCCTCTAGACAAGCGGCATGACTGTACCTAGAATGAGCGGGCAACACGTGCCCCTCTAGACAAGCGGTATGACTGTACCTAGGATGGGCGGGCAACACGTTCCCCTCTAGACAAGAGGTATGACTGTACCTAGGATGAGCGGGCAACACGTGCCCCTCTCGATAAGCGGTATGACTGTACCTAGGATGGGCGGGCAACACGTGCCCCTCTAGACAAGAGGTATGACTGTACCTTGGATGAGCGGGCAACACGTGCCCCTCTAGACAAGCGGTATGACTGTACCTAGCATGAGCGGGCAACACGTGCCCCTCTAGACAAGCGGTATGACTGTACCTAGGATGGGCGGGCAACACGTTCCCCTCTAGACAAGCCGTATGACTGTACCTTGGATGAGCGGGCAACACGTGCCCCTCTAGACAAGCGGTATGACTGTACCTTGGATGAGTGGGAAACACGTGCCCCTCTAGAAAGGCGGTATGACTGTACCTAGGATGAGCGGGCAACACGTGCCCCTCTAGACAAGCGGTATGACTGTACCTAGAATGAGCGGGCAACACGTGCCCCTCTAGACAAGCGGTATGACTGTACCTAGGATGGGCGGGCAACACGTTCCCCTCTAGACAAGAGGTATGACTGTACCTAGGATGAGCGGGCAACACGTGCCCCTCTCGATAAGCGGTATGACTGTACCTAGGATGGGCGGGCAACACGTGCCCCTCTAGACAAGAGGTATGACTGTACCTTGGATGAGCGGGCAACACGTGCCCCTCTAGACAAGCGGTATGACTGTACCTAGCATGAGCGGGCAACACGTGCCCCTCTAGACAAGCGGTATGACTGTACCTAGGATGGGCGGGCAACACGTTCCCCTCTAGACAAGCCGTATGACTGTACCTTGGATGAGCGGGCAACACGTGCCCCTCTAGACAAGCGGTATGACTGTACCTTGGATGAGTGGGAAACACGTGCCCCTCTAGAAAGGCGGTATGACTGTACCTAGGATGAGCGGGCAACACGTGCCCCCCTAGACAAGCGGTATGACTGTACCTAGAATGAGCGGGCAACACGTGCCCCTCTAGACAAGCGGTATGACTGTACCTAGGATGGGCGGGCAACACGTTCCCCTCTAGACAAGAGGTATGACTGTACCTAGGATGAGCGGGCAACACGTGCCCCTCTCGATAAGCAGTATGACTGTACCTAGGATGGGCGGGCAACACGTGCCCCTCTAGACAAGAGGTATGACTGTACCTTGGATGAGCGGGCAACACGTGCCCCTCTAGACAAGCGGTATGACTGTACCTAGGATGAGCGGGCAACACGTGCCCCTCTAGGCAAGCGGTATGACTGTACCTAGGATGGGCGGGCAACACGTTCCCCTCTAGACAAGCGGTATGACTGTACCTTGGATGAGCGGGCAACACGTGCCCCTCTAGACAAGAGGTATGACTGTACCTAGGATGAGCGGGCAACACGTTCCCCTCTAGACAAGCGGTATGACTGTACCTTGGATGAGTGGGCAACACGTGCCCCCCTAGAAAGGCGGTATGACTGTACCTAGGATGAGCGGGCAACACGTGCCCCTCTAGACAAGCGGTATGACTGTACCTAGGATGAGCGGGCAACACGTGCCCCTCTAGACAAGCGGTATGACTGTACCTAGGATGAGTGGGCAACACGTGCCCCCCTAGAAAGGCGGTATGACTGTACCTTTGATTGGAACCATGACTAGATGTGCCCCTGTGGATCCTGAGTGAATGACGTCACGGTTGCCCTTCTTTATGGCATGAGAGTCCAATTGGTCCGACCCTGATAACAGAAGCCCACAAACACAGTCTCCGAGTTGATTACGCAAGACATTATATTAATGATTGATATACTACTCAAAATAAGGTAAAAGAACACCAACAACCCACCAGCCATGACAAAGTGACTACATATATGTTATGTAATTTATTTTAAGAAGACTATATACCTTCTCTATAATTTTGCATAAATGGCCTGTTGGGTCAGTTTCACTTATTAAAAATGCACGTTCCGTTGCAAGTTAATTGCTGGCCCAGAATCAACTGCAGCAACAATGTGTTTGTTTGTTTGTTTACTATTTAATGCCGCACTCAGCAATATTCCAGCTATATGACGGCGGTCTGTAAATAGTCGAGTCTGGACCAGACAATCCAGTGATTGACATAATGAACATCGATCCCCGTAATTGGGATATAATGACACGCATCAACCAAGTCAGCGAGCCTGACCACCCGATCCCGTTAGCACCTCTTACGAGAAGAACAGTCACCTTTTGCAGCAAGCACGGGTTGCTGAAGATCTATCTACCTCGGATCTTCACGGGTCTGCAGCAACAATACTGATTTAATCACGGCACATGCACTTGCTACTTATCATGGGTTTTAGGCGGTTGGTAGGCCAGTAGTTTAAGCGTTCGACATCACGGGTTCGATTCCCCAAATCGGTACAATGCGTGAAGCCCATTTCTGGTGTCCCCCGCCGTCATATTGTTGGAGTATAGCTACAAGCGGCTTAAAACCATACACACTCACTCACTCACTTTCATGGTTATTTTATGATTCAATCTAATTATCACCAGTTGATGTACAAGATTCAATTCAGCAGAAATAACAAGAGACGGGAAAGGGATTATCCCTCTCTCATTAGAATGTACTGCGGAAGGAATATTTAAATGTATGCATATGGTACTAAAGGTCGCTCATTTCTTTGAAAACTACACAAAAACACATTGGAATATGACATGACGACTTGACATAGCTACAATTAACAGGGTTGATGTATTAGTTTTACAAACCTGAAGTTCGTCTGGAGAACTCGTCTACGATCATCTGAAATATAGTGTACTGCAATTCACTATTTAATATAAAACCTCAAAGCCAGACAATAACCATGCTGTAAAGTACGACAAAACAGATTCCATTGGCAGATACCATGAGAGAGGGAGAGAGATAGGGGGGGGAGAGACAGAGAGAGGGAGAGAGAGAGAGGGGGGGGGATAGAGAGAGAGAGAGGGATAGAGAGAGAGAGGGAGAAGGATAGAGAGAGAGAGAGGGAGAGTGACACAGAGAGAGAGAGAGGGATAGAGAGAGAGAGGGAGAATGATAGAGAGAGAGAGAAAGAGAGAGAGAGAGAGAAAGAGAGAGAATGACAGGGAGAGAGAGAGAGAGAGAGGGAGAGTGACAGAGAGAGGGGGAGAGAGATTTCAGCAAATCCACGATTAACGTAACAGGCGACTAACGGGAATGGGGTGGTCAGACTAGCTGACTCGCTTGGTGCATGTCATCCTATCCCAATTGTATAGATCGATGCTCTTGATGCCAGTCACTGGGTTATCTAGTGTAGACTCGATTATTTACAGACCGCCGTCATTTAGCCGGAATACTCGTATTGTTGAGTGCGGCGTTAAAAAGTAGGACGGACAAGGAATACTTCCGAGAAAAGTAAGTTATTGATTTCCTCAGTTACGCTTCCTTGAAATTCTCAATTCAAACACGGAAGGAAGTATGGTTGTTAAAAATAGCACACTTCGCTGATAAATAGAACCAGTTATATCAGACACCGACGATTGATTGATCGATAAATTTGCTGTGAATGGAAAATTGGAAAACATGTTTTTTTGCACAAATTACACAAGATCATGCCGATGACAACCGCCTTCCCTTAAAGGGGACTACTATATATAACAATCAACTTTTCTCCACTAACTAATATTATCAATAAACATACAACCAGCAACAAATTTATAACACGGTATAAATTGTGTATTTATAGAATTACCTTCTTGAACATTTCTGTGACGTCAACTTTGTTTCTTTGACAGCATATATGATGACCAGAGGTTCGAATGACGTCATAGGGAGTGTCCTGAGATTCGACCAGTGGACCCAGCTGACCACAAGTAAAACACACATCAGCATTTGACCCCACATGGTCAAGCTTAACAGAAGATGCGTCCGTGTTCCTTTGGTGAGACAATCTTGGCTTCAGCGTGTGGATGCCGAAGATGACAGCTAAAACAACATTGGAGATCAATGAGACGGCAAAGATGATATAGAGTAACGCTCTTGAACGATGTCGTCGTGAAGGTGGCGGCTCCGACGTTGTTGTGGTGTTGTGGATGAAGCTAGATTCAGACCCTGACATTCTTGTATGATATGTACGTTAATCGGTTTGAAATAAAAATTTAAAAAAAATTGTTTATATTTACAAATGTCCAGTTAAGACAGTTGTTAACTTTAACCAAACTCTCCTCGGGCTAGCCTGCCAGTGCCTGATGTGGCTTATGGTGAGGCTACGGCGTTACTGAAACATTTGCTGACAAGAGATTGTTGGAATCTCCCAGATGATCTCACCACCCAGGTTTTCCTTGACTGCTCTGTACTACAACGTGGTGGGAATCCCTCAGGGTTATTTTCTGTTCCTCGTCATGGGATTAATATAGACCGCACCGGTGTAGTGTCCTCTCCTGCTTCCTTCTGTGTCGGGGCGGTCGGTGGCCTAGTGGTTAAAGCGTTCGCTCGTCACGCTGAAGACCCAGGTTCGATTCCCGACATGGGTACAATGTGTGAAGCCCATTGCTGGTGTCCCCCGCACTGATATTGCTGGAATATTGCTAAAAGCGGCGTAAAACCATACTCACTTACTCCTTCTGTGGCGCCGCCATTCTCTGAATGTCTCCATGAGTAGTCCGGGTTAATGTTCGTCCCCAGGAACCTTTGCTGGCCGTAGGGGGTGACCAGGCTCGAGTGGTAATGCCTGGTGACCTGGCTGACTTGTGTGTCATCGTACCCCGACGCATTATCAATCACCGGATTGTCTAGTCCAAGATATTTACAGGCCGCTGTCATATAACTGGAATATTGCTAATTGCAGTGTTAAACAACAAGCAAAACAGTCTCTGAATGTGTCCCTATTTAGTGACGGGTGTTCGAGCCAATATTTTACCATATTTGATAACAGGAAGACTCCTTTTAGACGGCAGGTCAAGTTCAATAAGCAGTAGTTCCCCCCTATCTCGCTCTTTGTGACGTAGCACATGGGACAACGCCCAAACCTGTCAAAACGACCAAAGGCCAAGTTATATCAATGACAAGGTCAATGTCCATATGCGGAAGAAAACGTCTTGTTACTGAATCACACTTTCAGTCGAAACTAAGACGGCTAAATAGAGAGAGAGAGAGAGAGAGAGAGAGAGAGAGAGAGAGAGAGAGAGAGAGAGAGAGAGAGAGAGAGAGAGAGAGAGAGCTTGTGCTTGTACTAGTCAGGACTACTTCCGGGTTCTTTGTGACAGTCCACGGAGATGCCATGCCGTATTTATTTACATCTCACATCTGTACGTTCACATTGACATTTGGCTAGTATACATGTAATAAATCTACAAATACATTCAGTTTATGAATTTTTAGAGACAAATATAATTAAACCAGACTAAAATGCTTCAATGTTCTATACGTATAAAATTGCTTTCATTCGGCAAAGATCAAAATAAATAACACTTACATCATTTAAAATAAAACAAGTTTGAGATTGTGACTAACTTGTAGGCTTAAATGTGTCATCAAACAGTGACACGTGTTTATTCATATCCTCGTCACCTGACCTAATGTGTATTATTGTTCATAGTGTAGTTCGAATAGTATAGGATTTCCTTGTTTCCGTATATGTTACCTGAATGCTGACTGCATTTACTGCTTCATGGCTACTCATCAAGGTGTTGACGCTTTAGGTTTAGAGTGAACTTTGCCTCATATTGCAAGTTACATTTATATAAAAACTAATCGTTATTTACCGCCTACGTGATCTAGCGGATGGAGCGCCTGTCCTCGTAAAGTCGTTAACAGTTGGTACACTGAAACAGTATTCGAATGTTGCATCCATGTTTAACTACAGCATGGTACACACGCCCACACACGCCCACACGCACGCACGCACGCACTCACGCACTCACTCACGCACGCACACACACACACACACACACACACACACACACCTCCAGCACAGAGGGAGAGAAACGTCTCTTTCAAAAACAAGTATTACACATAAAGCAGTTTTTGTTGTAGTCTGACAAGTGCTTGAATGGCGACGGTGTTGTTCTGTTCGGTTTACGGAAAAAATACAACATACACCTACAAATATCATACAAAAGAAACTATACTATAAACTATAACTTAAAAATGCATTATCAAATGCATTGTGATCATTAATTTTGATATTCTAAGGGTGGGAGTGTTTGAACCTGAGATTTTATCTAAAAACAGGTTGACCCCGAAAACCCTTGAAAAAGATGTTTTTACTTCAGGCGGTTGAAACAAAAGAGAAATTATCCGTCACACATATTGTTTATAAGGTTTTTTTTGTACAACAACATTTAGGTTCAGAGATCAAATGATCCCTAGGTAACCTAAGCAACGGACGCACCTCCCGTTTGCCCATTGTTCACTGCCCATTACCAATGTATGATAATTTAAGGGTTGGCTTCCAGTTGCCCATAACCATCAGCGCTAATTACTGTAAAGTGTAAAGTTCTCTTGCTAATCACATATCAGCGGCAATTATATGTTGGCCCCAATTGTTAGTTTCCACCTTTTGTTTTCTTATTACTTTTGTTTTCCTCACATCATCCATTCACCTGGTGAAGGAGTAAGCATAGGCTCCGGAACGTTGTGTTCCCCATAATGAAGAAGTTGACATCCATAATTCTCTTCCTTATGTGTATCACTTCTAAATGCCTTCAAAGACTTGGTATTTTCTATATTCCCCGTGTCATACACATTGCAGGTCATGGTATACACTGTGTGTGTTTTTTAGCAAAGCGATTCGTTTGTAAAGGTGGACCGTTCTGCACCAACATATAAGGACTACTATCCAGATGTTATCGCATGACGGACAATAAAGGATACACAGTGAGGAAATTGGATATATATCGGGTCATGTCGGGTTTTGCTTATCATTGCGGGTGTATTGTATAGCTTGAAATCAATTAAACGCTGAACTGTGCCATGTCAGAAGGAGGCCCGTAGCTTAAAATCAATGTCTTCTGTGTGCGTGAAATCCATCTGTGAAGACATTGAACATTGAACTATCTCTAAGCATCAACCAGGTTCCACGGTGGATCCAAAAGACACAGACACTCAAAAAGTAAGTACCATTTGACAGGCATACCTTTTGAAATTCAGTTAATGTGGATGATTGCTAGAACGGGTAGTGGCAATGCTGTTCTACGTACAATTCACTTCACAAGTAACCGGGGTCACGGGTAGCCTTGTCTTTTAAAGCACAGAATTCGTCGTGAAGAGCTACGTCCCTTGGGCGTGCCAGTAACCTAGTTCTGGTGCGTGTTGATTATGTTGCTAGGTTTGTTGTCATCATACGCGTGCTTGTGGCTTTAACTGAAGTATGTCTCAGACCTGTATCACTTTGGGCTTTCACATTGAGACAGCGTGCTGTGATATAGGAGAACTAATGTTCAGAGCGAGTGTGTGTGCATGCGTGCGTGCGTGCGTGCATGCGTGCGTGCGTGTGTGCGTGTGCGTGTGTCCGTGTGTACCATGCTGTAGTTAAACATGGATGCACCATTCAGTGTACCAACTTTAAACAACTTTACAAGGACAGGCGCTCCATCAGCTAGATCACGTAAGCAGTAAATAACGATTAGTTTTTAAATAAATGTAACTTGCAATATGAGGCAAAGTTCTCTCTTAACCTAAAGCGTCAACACCTTGATGAGTAGCCACGAAGCAGTAAATGCAGTCAGCATTCAGGTAACATATACGGAAACAAGGAAATCCTATACTATTCGAACTACACTACGAATAATAATACACATTAGGTCAGGTGACGAGGATATGAATAAACACGTGTCACTGTTTGATGACACATTTGAGCCTACAAGTTAGTCACCATCTCAAACTCGTTTTATTTTTAATGATGTAAGTGTCATTCTCTTTGCCGAATGAAGGCAATTTTATATATACTGGTGACAAGGTTAAATTCGTTCTACATATAAATGTGATGTGGTTGAATTCGTTTCCGCTTATAATTTCGATGAGGTTGAATTTGTTTCTGCATATCATTGTGATGAGGTTTCGGTATATAATTGTGGTGAGGTTTCGGTATATAATTGTGATGAGGTTTCGGTATATAATTGTGGTGAGGTTTCGGTATATAATTGTGATGAGGTTTCGGTATATAATTGTGGTGAGGTTTCGGTATATAATTGTGGTGAGGTTTCGGTATATAATTGTGGTGAGGTTTCGGTATATAATTGTGATGAGGTTTCGGTATATAATTGTGATGAGGTTTCGGTATATAATTGTGGTGAGTTTGAATTCGTATGGGATAGTGTACAACATTGACAAATCAAACGTTTTGACAGAATTCGAACTTCGTTTGTTCTGAGCTGGCAAAATTGTTTTTGCATATTAATAGCAAAGACTATTCTAATTTCAAACACTTTAGTGTGTCAGAATCGTCCCAGCTCCTCAGCCATGTCTGTCGTTAAATGAGATTCGGGTGGTCGCAATGAGTTTTTGTGTGTCAACATATACATGTACCTTCTGGGTGGGAATGCAAATACATAATGGCCAAACACATACAAGTGGGTTTTTAGCCAAAAAGGTTTGTTTGGTCCAGACTCGATTATATCATGAATATAGCGGAAATATTGCTGACACCAGTGTAAAAATAATTTACTCGCATTCATATGACAGTGGCATTTCTTTGTCTCTTATGCCTCATGCTGAGTTTTGAAACTGCAGATCATGTCGGTCCTACAAATTAATTCAGTGAATGAGTGTGGGCGTGCATAATGAAAATACATAAGGATTATTCCAAAACGTTTCAGAGAAACAAATCTTTAGAACACATACACAAATTGTCTATTTCATGAACACAATGCTCTCTCAGGAGATGTAGTAAGGGTATGAAGAACATCTGTTGGAAATGGTAAAATGTATGCTAACATATGCATTGACATTCACCTGGTGGATGAGTAAGCATGTAGTCCGAAACGTTGTGTTCTTCATCATAAATAAGTTCACATCCATAAATTATCTTCCTTATAGGCATTGTTGTTCACCCAATTGAGCTGAATGTTACATGTAGTGATTTTCTCAGGCATAATAAGCTGTTTGTGAGAATGTTAGTTTAAATACAAGAAATTGTAATGGGATCATGCATTCACGAGTCACAGACTGCCGTCCAAAGGTAGGTGTATTGTGTAGTGACTGTGAATATAATGGTGACGAGGTGGACAGTGACTGTGAACATAATGGGGACGAGGTAGACATGGACTGTAGATATAATGGTGATGAGGTAGACAGTGACTGTGAATATAATGGTGTCGAGGTAGACAGTGACTGCGAATATAATGGTGAAGAGGTAGACAGTGATTGTGAATATAATGGTGACGAGGTAGACAGTGACTGCGAACATAATGGGGACGAGGTAGACAGTGACTGTGAATATAATGTTGACGAGGTAGACAGTGACTGTGAATATAATGATGACGAGGTAGACAGTGACTGCGAAAATAATGGGGTCGAGGTAGACAATGACTGCGATAATGGTGACAAGGTAGACAGTGACTGCGATAATGGTGACGAGGTAGACAATGACTGCGATAATGGTGACAAGGTAGACAGTGACTGCGATAATGGTGACGAGGTAGACAATGACTGCGATAATGGTGACAAGGTAGACAGTGACTGCGATAATGGTGACGAGGTAGACAGTGACTGCGATAATGGTGACGAGGTAGACAATGACTGCGATAATGGTGACAAGGTAGACAATGGCTGCGATAATGGTGACGAGGTAGACAATGACTGCGATAATGGTGACGAGGTAGACAATGACTGCGATAATGGTGACGAGGTGGACATTGAGTGTGAATATAATGGTGACGAGGTAGACAGTGACTGTTAATATATTGGTGACGAGGTAGACAGTGACTGTGAATATAATGGTGATGAGATAGACAGTGACTGCGAATATAATGGTGACGAGGCTGAATTTGTATATACTAGTGATGAGGTTGAATTCGTTTCAGCATCTTATTGTGACACGGTTAAATTGGTTTCTACATATAATTGTGAGTTAGAATATGTTTGTGCAGATAATAGTGACGAGGTAGAATAAATTTGCGAACAAAACGGTGCAGAGGTAGTATGTTTGTGAACAAAAAAGTGACGAGGCAGAATGTGTTAGTGAATTTATTAGAGACCAGGTAGAATATGATTGCGGATATAATGATGTCGAGGTAACATTGCTATCACATACAATAGTATACATAGGTTGCATACGTTAGTGTGTGTGTGTGTGTGTGTGTGTGTGCGTGCGTGCGTGCGTGCGTGCGTGCGTGCGTGCGTGCGTGCGTGCGTGCGTGTGTGTGTGTGTGTGTGTGTGTGTATGTATGTATGTATGTACGTATGCATGTATGTATGTATGTTTGAATATTTGCTACTGCCACCAAGATCTGCACATCCTTTACAGACTAAACTGTATTTATCAAAAGAAACGTATTCATAGATAGAATTGTATACTTAAACAGCATTGATTCATACATGCACCCATTGATCATACATTTCCAATTTATATCTTGCACAACGCTTCTGTTCAGCGTTTGTTTCTTCAGACTTATAAAAAGGCAGTAAAGGCTTAATCTTATTCTCCTTTATTTCATATTTATGTAGCTAACATGGAAGTGTGGACCGTCATCTCTGGAATAGTTGTGCTGCTCCCTGCCACCTTCTCCGTAGATGGACTGGGCACAACCTATAAGGTCATCAACTCGACCAATATTTCATATCCATATACATGATGCGAAGTGTGAATGTAAATAATATACATCATTTCTGCATCGAACTAATCAAAAGCAACAGTTGTCTTTTCTTTAGTCCAAAAACACTTGCAGCCTACATGTAATTTGGAATCTGTGTGATATAAAACGTCAGTTTCGATTATCTGCCGAATCAGATTCCACTGGGCGTGAAAGGCAAAATAGTGGTTTGAAATATATGAATGGATCACTGAAAATCAATTATGACACCAGGTGTTCGAGAAAAGTGTAAGCATGTCCTGCCCTATCGGTAGCACTCGTCAATCACGAGATTTTCATAAAAAGTAAATTTTTGTTTATTTCCGATCGCCGAATAGATGGAAAACTCTAGATTCCTCGCTGCCACCGACTGTCGTTAAAATCTAGCCACGACAGAATTCGACAATTTACTAGCCCTCCAATCAATTGTTGCCACTGACAAGTACCAGAAATAATTTTACAACAGCGTCTTCTACCACATAACAACTATTTGGTAGTGATTCATAAACAAACGCTAATGTTATAGTCGGAATGGTACAATGGACTCAGCTTTTAGCAGGCAATTATTTTGTTTATGGAAAGGGTTTTGTCGTTTTGTTAAATATACTGTGCTTTATTTATAATCAGTTTATTTCTGTGCTTTAAGGGTACAATACAAGTGAATACGGTGACATGCAGCTTTGCTGAATATAAAAATAAAGACGGCAGAGGACCTCGAGGACTGCGTCTCTCTTCATGCACGAGTAACAAGACCCTCGACTGCACTTACTACGGAGAGAATCCCCACAATTGCAAGGCATATAAACCAGAACAGCAGAAGAGCATCAAGAAGTACTACTCAGCACTGGCAGAAAGTGCCATGAACAATGGCGACCCGTGCACACTGAGCTCCATCACTGAAAACATCTGCGATCTGAGCTACCTTTGTTATGACGGGAGCTGTAAAGAGAATCATCCCAAAGAGGAGTTATAGAATCTAATACAATCAGAGCTTTTATCTTGTAATTCTGTGTATTAAAGTTATATAAAGGAAATCACGAGTTGATGTCTCTGCAAACAACACAGAGTGAGTGAATTTGGTTTAGTCCCCTTTTACAGTATTTCAAAAGTATCAAGGCGTGTAAGTTTGGTGTTGGAGACGCAAGTAGTGAATGGGTCAGAACTAAATCAAAGTGTTTTATGTTGTGACAGCTTCACTGCGTGAATAGGTCAGCACTGAATCAGATTGTTGAATGTTGCAACAACTTCAATGGGTTGGTGGGTTAGCACTAAATCAAAATGTTTAATGTTGCAACAACTCCATCTGGTGAATGGGCCAGCACTAAATCATACTGGTGTATGTAGCAACAGCTTTATTGTGTGAATGGATCGGCAGTGAATCATACCGATGTATCTTGCAACATCTTCACTGGGTGAATGGGTCAGCACTGACTCATACCGGTGTATGTTGCAACATCTTCACTGGGCGAATGGGTCAGCACTGAATCAGACTGGGGTATGTTGCAAAATCTTCACTCGGCGAATAGGTCAGCACTGAATTATACTGGGGTATGTTGCAACAGTTTCACTGGGTGAATGGGTCAGCACTTGATCATACTTATATATGTTGACAGCTTCACTGGGTGAATGGGTCAGCACTAAATCATACCGGTGAATGTTGGAACAGCTTCACTGTGTGAATCGGTCAGCACAGAATCAGACTGGTGTATGTTCGAAAAGCTTCAATGGGTTAATAGGGCAGCACTGAATCATACTGATGTATTTTGCAACAGATTCACTGGGTGAATCTGTCAGCAATGAATCACACTGGCGTATGGTGCAACAGTATTATTAGGTGAATGGATCAGCACTGAATAATACTGCTTCACTGTGTGTTTGTATGTTTCACTGTGTTTGTGTCTGTGTTTGATTGTGTATATGACTATGCGGTTGTGTGTATCACACTGTGGCTGTCAGCATCGCCGTGTGGTTGTGTGTATCACTCTATGGCTGTGTGTATCACTGTATGGTTGTCAGCATCATTGTGTGGTTGTGTGTATCACTCTGTGGTTGTGTGTATCACTGTATGGTTGTCAGCATCATTGTGTGGTTGTGTGTATCACTCTATGGTTGTCAGCATCACTGTGTGGTTGTCAGTATCAGTGTGTGGCTGTGTGTATCACTCTATGGCTGTGTGTATCACTGTGTGGTTGTCAGTATCAGTGTGTGGTTGTGTGTATCACTCTATGGCTGTGTGTATCACTGTATGGTTGTCAGCATCATTGTGTGGTTGTGTGTATCACTCTATGGCTGTGTGTATCACTGTGTGGTTGTCAGTATCAGTGTGTGGCTGTGTGTATCACTCTATGGCTGTGTGTATCACTGTATGGTTGTCAGCATCACCGTGTGGCTGTGTGTATCACTATATGGCTGTCAGCATCACTGTATGGTTGTGTGTATTACTACATGGCTGTGTGTATCACCATGTGGTTGTGTGTATCACCGTGTGGTTGTGAGCATCACTGTGTGGTTGTGTGTATCACTGTGTGGCTGTGTGTATCACTCTATGGTTGTCAGCATCAGTGTGTGGCTGTGTGTATCACTGTGTGGTTGTGTTTATCACTGTGGTTGTGAGCATCACTGTGTGGTTGTGTGTATCACTGTATGGCTGTGTGTATCACTCTATGGTTGTCGGCATCACTGTATGGCTGTGTGTATCACTCTATGGTTGTGAGCATCACTGTGTGGTTGTGTGTATCACTGTGTGGTTGTGTGTATCACTGTATGGCTGTCAGCATTACTGTATGGTTGTCAGCATCACCGTGTGGTTGTGTGTATCACTCTATGGTTGTGAGCATCACTGTGTGGTTGTGTGTATCACTGTGGTTGTCAGCATCACTGTGTGGTTGTGTGTATCACTGTATGGCTGTCAGCATCACTGTATGGTTGTCAGCATCACCGTGTGGTTGTGTGTATCACTGTGGTTGTGAGCATCACTGTATGGTTGTGTGTATCACTCTATGGTTGTGAGCATCACTGTGTGGTTGTGTGTATCACTGTGGTTGTGAGCATCACTGTGTGGTTGTGTGTATCACTGTTTGGCTATGTGTATCACTGTAGTTGTGAGCATCACTGTGTGGTTGTGTGTATCACTACATGGTTGTCAGCATCACTGTATGGTTGTGTGTATCACTGTGGTTGTGAGCATCACTGTATGGTTGTGTGTATCACTACATGGTTGTCGGCATCACTGCATGGCTGTGTGTATCACTGTGGTTGTGAGCATCACTGTATGGTTGTGTGTATCACTCTATGGTTGTCGGCATCACTCTGTGGTTGTGTGTATCACTCTACGGTTGTCGGCATCACTGTGTGGTTGTGTGTATCACTATGGTTGTGTGTATCACGGTATGGCTGTGTGTATCACTGTGGTTGTGAGCATCACTGTGTGGTTGTGTGTGTCACTACATGGTTGTCAGCATCACTGTGTGGTTGCGTGTATCACTGTATGGCTATGTGTATCACTCTACGGTTGTCAGCATCACTGTGTGGCTGTGTGTATCACTACATGGTTGTCGGCATCACTGTGTGGTTGCGTGTATCACTGTATGGCTGTGTGTATCACTCTACGGTTGTCAGCATCACCGTGTGGTTGCGTGCATCACTACATGGTTGTCAGCATCACTGTGTGGTTGCGTGTATCACTGTATGGCTATGTGTATCACTCTACGGTTGTGAGCATCACTGTGTGGCTGTGTGTATCACTACATGGTTGTCGGCATCACTGTGTGGTTGCGTGTATCACTGTATGGCTGTGTGTATCACTTTGGTTGTGAGCATCACTGTGTGGCTGTGTGTATCACTACATGGTTGTCGGCATCACTGTAAGGCTGTGTGTATCACTGTGGTTGTGAGCATCACCGTGTGGTTGCGTGCATCACTACATGGTTGTCAGCATCACTGTGTGGTTGCGTGTATCACTGTATGGCTATGTGTATCACTCTACGGTTGTGAGCATCACTGTGTGGCTGTGTGTATCACTACATGGTTGTCGGCATCACTGTGTGGTTGCGTGTATCACTGTATGGTTGCGTGTATCACTGTATGGCTATGTGTATCACTCTACGGTTGTCAGCATCACCGTGTGGTTGCGTGTATCACTACATGGTTGTCAGCATCACTGTGTGGTTGCGTGTATCACTGTATGGCTGTGTGTATCACTTTGGTTGTGAGCATCACTGTGTGGCTGTGTGTATCACTACATGGTTGTCGGCATCACTGTATGGCTGTGTGTATCACTGTGGTTGTGAGCATCACTGTGTGGCTGTGTGTATCACTACATGGTTGTCAGCATCACTGTGTGGTTGCGTGTATCCCTAATGGGTGTGTGTATCACTACATGGTTGTCGGCATCACTGTATGGCTGTGTGTATCACTGTGGTTGTGAGCATCACTGTGTGGTTGTGTGTATCACTCTACGGTTGTGAGCATCACTGTGTGGTTGTGTGTATCTCTGTATGGCTGTGTGTATCACTCTATGGTTGTCGGCATCACTGTGTGGTTGTGTGTATCACTCTATGGTTGTCAGGATCACTGTATGGCTGTGTGTATCACTGTGGTTGTGAGCATCACTGTGTGGTTGTGTGTATCACTGTATGGTTGTGTGTATCACTGTATGGTTGTGTGTATCACTGTATGGTTGTGTGTATCACTCTATGGTTGTCAACATCACTGTGTGGTTGTGTGTATCACTGTATGGCTGTGTGTATCACTCTATGGTTGTCAGCATCACTGTGTGGTTGCGTGTATCACTGTGTGGTTGTGTGTATCACTGTATGGTTGTGTGTATCACTGTATGGCTGTGTGTATCACTCTATGGTTGTCAGTATCACTGTGTGGTTGTGTGTATCACTGTGTGGTTGTGTTTATCACTCTATGGTTGTCAGCATCACTGTGTGGTTGTGTTTATCACTCTATGGTTGTCAGCATCACCGTGTGGTTGTGTGTATCACTATGGTTGTCAGCATCACCGTGTTCTTGTGTGTATCACTGTGTGGTTGTGTTTATCACTCTATGGTTGTGAGCATCACCGTGTGGTTGTGTTTATCACTCTATGGTTGTCAGCATCACTGTGTGGTTGTGTTTATCACTCTATGGTTGTCAGCATCACTGTGTGGTTGTGTGTATCACTGTTTGGTTGTGTTTATCACTCTTAGGTTGTCAGCATCACTGTGTGGTTGTGTTTATCACTCTATGGTTGTCAGCATCACCGTGTGGTTGTGTTTATCACTCTATGGTTGTCAGCATCACCGTGTGGTTGTGTTTATCACTCTGTGGTTGTCAGCATCACTGTGTGGTTGTGTTTATCACTCTGTGGTTGTCAGCATCACTGTGTGGTTGTGTGTATCACTATGGTTGTCAGCATCACCGTGATCTTGTGTGTATCACCGTGTGGTTGTGTTTATCACTCTATGGTTGTCAGCATCACCGTGTGGTTGTGTTTATCACTCTATGGTTGTCAGCATCACTGTGTGGTTGTGTTTATTACTCTATGGTTGTCAGCATCACCGTGTGGTTGTGTTTATCACTCTTTGGTTGTCAGCATCACTGTGTGGTTGTGTTTATCACTCTGTGGTTGTCAGCATCACTGTGTGGTTGTGTGTATCACTATGGTTGTCAGCATCACCGTGATCTTGTGTGTATCACCGTGTGGTTGTGTTTATCACTCTATGGTTGTCAGCATCACCGTGTGGTTGTGTTTATCACTCTATGGTTGTCAGCATCACTGTGTGGTTGTGTTTATTACTCTATGGTTGTCAGCATCACTGTGTGGTTGTGTGTATCACTCTATGGTTGTCAGCATCACTCTGTGGTTGTGTTTATCACTCTATTGTTGTCAGCATCACCGTGTGGTTGTGTTTATCACTGTATGGTTGTCAGCATCACCGTGTGGTTGTGTTTATCACTCTGTGGTTGTCAGCATCACTGTGTGGTTGTGTTTATCACTCTATGGTTGTCAGCATCACCGTGTGGTTGTGTTTATCCCTC